TTATTGTAGGTCACAGCTAACATGAAGACAAAGGAAAACAAATGATGTAATATATAGAAAATCTGAAATAAAGTCATTGTTACTTGCATTATGAATTCTTTGAGGCATAGGATTCTAACACAATCTAGATACTAATTTGGCAAGGTTTAAACCAATACACAAAATAGCATTTCTATATGAAGACACTTCAAAAAGTTCTTGCAAAATCTACAATTTATACAGCTAATAAGATATATATATATATATATATATATATATATACCAAGAGATATTTACAAGAATGATCACAGCAGTATTATCAGCCAAAAGCTTGAATCCATTCGAATGTTACAAGTAAAATGGATGTCAATTTAGACAAAGGAGTACTGCTTAACAATGAATAAGAATTTACAAGATCATAAATAGATCTCACACAGAAGCTGACCAAAGGAAAAAAAAAGCCAAATTCAAATTGCATGATATATGATTCCACTAAAAAAAAATCCAAAAACTAGTGTAACATTTCTGCAGCATCAGATAGTATAACTGTCTGGGCAAGGAAAACCAGAGAGGTATAAAAAAACTTCGAAGGTTCTGGTAATTTCATCCCTTGATGTGGATGCTTGCTTCACAAATGTGTTGACATTTTACCTGTTATAATTTGTGCATTTTTTGTGTGTATGTTATAATGCAACCGTTTTTTTAAAAAATCACCAGAAGACATCATCTGCCTGTCCATAAGCAAAATTAAAATTTTCATCACATGTAGTAACAGGCTTCTCTTAACACATTAAAATATCTCCAGAAAACAGCCTGTCTTTGGAAGGAAACGGGAAAGGTGAGTTCAGAATGAAGTAGGAGTCACAGGTCACATTAATTTGTAATAATCTAGCTATTAGTATAACTCACTTTTGAATTATGTTTAGGTAAAAGAAGATGCATTTGAACATAAGCCAAACTATGGAAGAATACTGAACATAAAGTTCTTAATGGCTTTACACAATAATCAGGTGTGGCACTTTGGCACAGCACTTAAGACACTGCTTTAAGACGCCCTGGTACAACACTAGACACCCAGGCTGTATTTCCAGGCTTCTGCTAATGACGACAGCTCAAATAGTTGATTCTTGTCACCCATGTGGGAAACCTGAAGTGAATCCCAGGTCCCTTCAGCCTAGTTCAGCTCGGCCTGTTAACTCCCTGTCTCCTCCTCTCTCTCTCCCTGCCCTGCCCTCTCCATACCTCTACAATAAATCAAGTGAAAAACTAAAGGGATAAAACTAAGGTTCCAATAGATGGTACAGAAGTCTACAGAAGCATAAATTACTAGCTGATTGCGATGACAATGGGACTGTGGTTTTTAGAGTACATAAACAGGAAAAGGCAGTTCAACATAAAATGTGCCACATTTCACACATCTGTCTGATCAACCAAGAGCTCAAGAAAAGGGATGAGCAGGAGGAGTTGTTTTATTCTTCTTTCATAAAATGCAAATCATGTCTGTTCAAACTATTTTTTAAAAGATTCTAACAGCTAAATTTCAGGTACCAAATTCTTACAGATTAGGATTTCCACTTAAGAAATTTGTTAAAATGTTTACATTTTCAAATCTGCAGCATAAAAAAGTTTGAATGTGTTTGCTAAATAGTGAATGAATACCCTACTCTCAATTGTGGACCAAGAGAGGATAACTGGTTCATCACAAACAGTGACTAATAAATCTACAGGTTGACTTAAATGCAATAGTTAGGGCTTTCCAAAATCAAACTCCCTTGAAAAATGAAATTTTTCATTCTAACAATTTCATGTGGGGTTTGATAACTGACTAGACAAAAAAATACAAAAGAGTGAAGATGTATTCTAACACACATAATCGAAGACCTGCCTGGATACAAAGCAAGAGTGTTACCAAAGGGCTCTAGATAACCTCTCCGGGGTGTATGTCCCCAAAACACGCATTTGATTACAGATACCCACATCACCACGTTCATAGCAACACGGTTCGCAACAGGTAAAGCATGGAACCCACCAGGATGTCCATCATTAGATGAGTGGAAAAATATACAGTTTATACAAGTGCAATGGATTATTATTTACCCATGAAAAATAATGAAATTCTAGTCCTTGCATAAAAATGGTTGCAACAGGAGGATATCACATTGAATGAAACAAGCTGGACATATAAAAAATACATAGTATTTATCTTTCTATGTGGAAGTGAATTTGAGGTAGGGGAAAAAGGAAAAAAAAAAGGAATGTAACAGTATGGTGAATGATGGTCTTTTTAGCTTTAATCTGTTGAATCCTTTTTAGTGGGCATTAAGCCTCTGACTATAATTTAATTTTTTTTTTTTTTTAAAGATTTATTGTTATTACAAAGTCAGATACATAGAGAGGAGGAGAGATAGAGATGAAGTGGAGCTGCTGGGATTAGAACCAGCGACCATATGGGATCCTGGCGGTTTCAAGGCGAGGACTTTAGCCACTAGGCCACGCCACCAGGCCCGACTATAATTTAATTTACAACTTTATCTCAATGCTGGCATTGTGGTGCAGCAAGTTAAGCTACGATCTGCAGTGTCAGTATCCCATATGGCTGCCAGCCCAAGTCCCAGTTGCTCAACTTCGATCCAGAATATGCTGGGGAAAGCATCCAAAGATTTCCCTTGTCCCTGGGCCCTGTCCCCACCTCGACCTGGCCCAGCCACAGTCATGGCAGCCAATTAGGGAGTGAATCAGTGGACAGAAGATCTGTGTGTCACTTTCTAATTCTGCCTTTCAATTATATTTTTCTTACCAAAAAAAAAGTTACTTCACAAAAAGTTGCTGTGGAAATACATTCTTTTAAATGCCAAAATAAAATTCCAGAAGAACAAACTTGGGTAGCATTGTTTGGTTGCTTTCTGAAGGGGAGGGAATAAAGGAGTTGGTTGTGGTAATGAAGTCAATGTGTTACTGTAAAATGTTTTTATGGAATTTGACATACATGGCAATCTTTGTAAACACAATTTTAACGAGGATGTCAAAAGAAAAAAAAAATGAGGCTAAGAGATTGAGAAACTGACAACTTGTGCTTTTTAGTCTTTTTTTAATAGCACTCATTCTAGAAAAGTTCTAAGGCAATTTACAACAAACAGAAAAAAAAAAAAAACAGAACAGAATAGCAGAATAAAAGCCAGACCAAGATCGGCATGCAGAATCATAAACCCTATACCCAGCATGTCTGTAAAAAGTCTATCAATTTTAATCCTAAGCTTCCAGAGACCCAAAGCAAAGAGCATGATCAATTACAGGCTTCCTATTCATTAAATACAAGATTGGATATGCAGAAGCATGCCTTTTCCACACCTCAAACAGGAGCAAACTTCTTTCACAGTTCCTTAAACTGGCAGAGCCTTATCATAAAAGTGGAAGACTTCCCAACATGAAATCCCTATTGTATTTCACAGGGCTGTTTCATATTACATTCCTTAATGCAAGCCAGTTGCATCCTCAAGGAATTTATACAACAGGTCAAAATAACGTAGTTCAGCTTTAAAATCCAATTAAGAAAACATCAAAAAAAAGCAACTGGATTGTACAGACTTGACACAGCCCATCTACAGTTAAATACTATTACTCATAATCATGAGTTCAGTATTTTAACAGCTGACAACAGAAGTTGTAATATTTGGCAAAAACCAAGGATATAAATACTTGGGGCTTCTTAGTACTGATCTGCACACATCAATTTACTATCCAGGAAAACAGTAAGGTTAAGAAGTAAAATTTATTGAGAAAAAAACAACAAAACTCATGAATTCAAAGCAAAGGACGTGCCAGAAAGACCAGCTAAGCCATCTCTTCACAGAAATGTTCCCATAAACGTATAACCCACTCACGAAGATTTGATGGCCAAAAGGAAAAAATGATCCATGAATACAGAGAACAGTTCTAGACTAATGGCCTGTTAGGAATGAACAAGAAGAGGGGATATGGGCAAAAGAAAAGAATTCAGCTTTTTTTCTCTAACAAACACATTGCATTTGTGCCACATCCAGACACAAATCCACATGGGCATAAACTGGGATTACAGCACGACTTTGTCTCCAGTTTTTCTTCACCTATCAGGTAACAGCATCAAATATATTAAAGAACATATGAGTTTAAGAAACGTTCCTTGTTTTCTTTTAAGAGGCTGTTTTTCTAATTTCCTAAGCTTTTCTGGTTCTTGGGTTGTCTATCAAAGGGCAAATCATAAAACAGCTAAAGGAAATGTCAAACACACTCACAAAAACTTACCCTTATCATATTCTGAATCCTTCCCCCATGGTAACTAAAAAATGTTTTATCTAGCAGAAAAACCTAAACTCAAATAATAAATGAATAGTGCAATGCAACTTACAGTGGTTAGTAAGTTACAGGAAATAAACTGGCCTTTTCTACTGCTGCTTAAAACTCAAAATAAAAAGATTATAACTAATAATGAAATCTGCTTTAAAGTATCTGCATTAAGAAGGTAGCTAAATTTAGCACCTACCAACCAAGTTATCACAAATTTTCTCCAGATGCCATATGGATAAAAATGTTAACAACCTTCATAACCAATGAGTGAACTTCTTTATTCAGTATTTGTGTTCAAATGAAGTCAGTCCTCCAAACTTTGCTTGATAAAATTCCCTTCTCAAAAGCATTTAAAGTGCTATGTACTAAATTTAGATGGGCCAACTTGTATATTAACCAAAAATAACTGTATACACCAAAAATACTGCAACTTTCCCCCTTCTCTTTCACATTTCAAGGCATCACTTTTCAAACACTGAATAATTTAGTAACATTTGGAATGTTACATGATCAGTGAAAATATCCATATCAAGTTTTACAAATTGTATGTAGCATTTTATTTTGTAGGTTAATTATGTCTTCTCTAGTTCATAGTAATAATAAGGATTAGATGTTGAAATTACAACACTAATTAAAAACTGGTATAAAATCAATTACTCAAACTGGAAATACACTCAACTGAGATTAAACAGACATACTTATCCCAACCAAGTGTTCCTAGCTCTTCAATAAGGTTTGAATAGAACTGGGGAGGAGCAGATAGCACCCGTGTCTCTTGCGAATTCTTTAAAGCAACTTCCTGTTTAAAAAAGGGAAAAAAAAAAACTGAATTAGCTGTAGAATGTTACACAATCATCAGTACCTGAACACAAAACACAACATCTTCACACCAAAGTTTGCACTGTTTCATAGAAAATCTAGCTTATACACCTGCTCATGAAATAAAAGGACTGTGCTTAAAGTCACACAAAATATCAATTTTGTATCACACAAAGATTGCAATATCTTAATAATCTTCAGGACTGTTAAGCCTATCACAGAGTGGGAAAAAAACTAGACAAAAATCTTATCTTCCAGCCTTCACTCTGAACTCCTGTGGATATGTTCGATATACCCACGTAATTTTTTTAGAAAGTGCTTCTGAAGAAAAGCCTGAAGCCTGACTACACTGCTCAGACTACCTGTACGCCACGATTAAGCACCTCCCAGCACACAAAGCTGCTTATTGGCACAATGAATCTCTCTCTGCTCATTTCTTTTGCCATCTTACATTCTGCAAGGCCAGACTAGGCAATTCCCAGTATTTTGCCAAACATCTAGCTATGTTAGCAGCCCTGTCCTTGCTAAGACCACCTGTAATGTCTTTAAAATGGTTCCCATATCAAAATAAAATTCACATTTTTTTTGAAGCAACACCAAAACCATTAGAATTTGAAGCTAGAAATTACCAATAACTTCAAGGCTACCAGATTGGGTAAATACCTTATTTGAAAAGTAAAAGTAAGTGTTTCTATGAATTGCTTAGATGTTCCTATAGACTGAATTCCCAACTCCCTCCTTTACAAGCCAGGCAGGCCCAGCTTGAGCTGTTACAAGTAGAGCGTTAATTGCTGAAGGGAATCTTTCTGTTCCTCTCGAACTCAGGAATAAAGCAATTTTAAGATTCAAAAACAGAGTTGACTCTCCCAAATGACCACAGTAGCTGGGACTGGGGCAGGCTGCAGCCAGCAGCCAAGATGTCAGGTTGCTTCTCAGAGCCTGTGTTACCAGCACACCGCACCAACCCCAGGCACTCCAATTTGGCAAGCGGAACTAAAGCCTGAGGCCACATGAGCATCCCTTTCTAATTTCTTGACATTTATTCCATATAGGTGTGTGTGTATATATGTATTATATGTATGTGTACATGTACGTATATACACATACTTAAACGTGCAAATGTCATCAATATATAACTCTGCCTTCTCCCTTTTGTCAGATAATGTATTCCTATCCCCACAAGCATAAGAGCCAAGCGGGCAAAGGCAAAGAAGGACCACACTCGCCACAGAGGAGGAAATGATACACAGCAGGAGGAAACAACGGCTTGTTGCACAAAGAGACGTTTCACAGCAGCAGAAAGCTGGATCGGAAGCAGAGCGGGGACTTCAGACACAGACTCTCTGGGATGGAAAGCCAACCTCCCAAGGGGTATCTGAGCCAATCCAACACCAACCCCAGCAGCATCAAAACCTAATCAAATCCAGCATAATGCAGAGTGAGGAGAGCTGCAGTTTTAAGTCTTACATAAACTTGAAACATATGAATTTAATAGATGGATCTTCTGTGTCACAGACACAGAAAAACAAAAGCACGTCTAAGAAGTTATTGCCTACTTCATTGGGAATTGCTTTTAGATTTAGAAAACAAAAAAAAGTAATGTGGTATGTATCAGCTTTGATATAATAACAGTGTTTTATCAAACTGTTTGAATCTCTGTTCAAGAAATCATTAAGAATTATCAACAGAATTTTTTTCAAACATTCACTTATATCCTTATTTGAAAGGCAGAGTGACACAGAGGGAGAGAGGAGAGGGAGAGGAGAAACAGACTTTTGTTCCATTCACTAGTTCATTCTCTAAATGGTGACCACAGCCAGGGCTGGCCCGGCTAGAACCAGGAGCCAAGAGTTCCGTCGAGGTCTCTTGGACAAACGTACTTGGGTCATCTTTTGCTGCTTGCCCCAACACATTAGCAGGTAGTTGACCAGATGCAGAGTATCCAAAACTCACAGCAGCACTGCAATATGGGATGTCAGCATGGCCATCCACAGCTTAACCAACAGTACCACAATGTGCCAGCCCCAACTTCACATATTATGAAAGACAAACAAAAACAAAAAAAGCATTTAACTGTTAAGAGGTACACACTAACACACAAGTATTTAGGGAAGAATAGATATACTATCTAGCATTACATTTATATTCTAGTCTTGGCCACTGTAGCTTAACAAAATCCTATATAAGTGCTGATGCAAGAGCAAGCTGATTCAGTTCAAGCTTCCGGCTTCGTCCCAGCCCCAGTCATTGTAGCCATTAGGGAGAGAAGCAGATGGAAGACCTCTTTCTCCCTCCAACACTTCCAAATAAACAAAATAAAATGTAAAAGAAGTAATAAAAATATTCTAGTATCTTCTAAAAACTGCAGGAAAGGGAAGATATGAGGAAACTGTTTCTATTAGGTCATGTCCATAATTTTATTTTATGTTGGAAATATGATAAATGTTTAAGAATAATAGGATAAATACTCAGGTGTTGTACCCAAAACTAATACAAAAACAACTATAATTTGTTACCATTATATGAAATGTACAAGTTTTTCCAAAAGCTGAGACTATATACAGGATTACAAATACATTCTATTGTTTCTTCAAATATAAACATCCAATCTCTGTTGAATTGACATGCCGGTAGTGTCATTTTCATTTTTTCACCATCTCCTCAAGTGTAGTGTCAAAGGTACCCAGCTTAAAATACAGTCACACTGGCTTATACATACAATTCTGTTCGTCATAAAGGCATCCATATGCACTCAACAAAACATTACATGTTTGTGAGTTCACAAGTTTTAACTTCTAAGAAATGTTAGCTGTTTGTAGAGGTTACAGAACAGGCATTGACCTAGTGGTTAAGACATGCGTTGAGACACTCTCAGCGTCCCAGATCAAAGACCCTGGTTACAATACATGGCTCAGGTTCCCAATTCCAGCTTTTTGCTAATGCAGACCCCGAAAGACAGTGCTGATGACTCAAGTATTTGACTCCTGCATGGAGTACCACATAGGAGTAGCTCCAGATAAATTTTTGAAAAGATTAAAGGTTACAGAAACAATTATGACAGAGTATATTGAAAGAGCATTAGAAAAAAAAAATCTTACCAAAATCATCTTCAATTCCATCATAAAGCTCAGTAGGTCAGGAGAGTGCTGCATTCTCTAGATCAAACAAATATTTCCAATTAATACCATTGGTTCGATGAATATTTGACTCACTTCAATGAAATAAAACACAGGCCTATAGAATGTGAAAAACAATATAGCAAAATCTACATCATAAAAGCACAGCACATGAAGCATCATTATTCTAACTATTCCTGCAAATTTCCTTTCATAAGAATAAAACCCTCAAATTGAGTTTTGGTAAAATACAGAGAACTGTAAGAATGTCACAAAAGCCTCACAGTTCCTTCAGCACTGTATATTGTCAAGCTTAACAGTTCTGGAAAACATAATTAATTAAAAAAAAAATGACTGGTGCAGGAGCAACATATGCAAGAAAAGCATAAATCTAGTATTAACTCTATTTTTTAAATTTCTTCCTTGGCCTTAAAGCTAACCGACAGTTGTTATTTTTGTCCTTTCACAACTCTCATTAATTTGAAAGAAAAGAACCATTCAATAAAATAAAGCCTATCATAACACAACTGAATAAAGCAAATTTGAAACATTGGACATTTAAGATTTATGATCCCATATTCTAGAAATCTGATTCTTAAGCTACAAATAAAACAAAGAGAAAATCATCAAGTTTTCTACTAATTTTTTGAAGTAGAACTCTCCCTCATCCCGGTAATACACGAAAACATATCGTTCACATTCACATCATACAGCTCTGAGTACATGTATGTTTGCAGACAGTTTGGACTATTTAAGATATTTTTCTTTCGTCTACAGATGAGACAATGTATGAAAGGTCTGCAACCTACCACCCACTGCAACTCAGTATCTACTTCTGTAAATAAAGTTTTATCAGAATGCAGCCACATCCCTTCATTCAACATCTGCCTAGAATTGCTTTGGTGCTAAAGGAACAGCAATGGAGTGGTTACAAGGAACAGCATCAAACAGCTGCAACAGACTTATGGCCCAGAAATTCAGAAAGCTGGTTACCTGGCCCTTTACAAAAAGAGGCATGTTGAACTTTCTTAATGTATTTATCAAGATTTAAAATAGTGAAGGAGGAAGCAGAAATACTGACTTAATAAAACAAAGTGAAACTAACACTGGCTCTACCTAACCAACCAGAAGCCAGAGGGAGACTAGTAATTGGACTTAAAAACTTTTAGGAGGCTTGTTGATGAATTGGTAAAGGAAAACAGAGATCTTACTGCCATACATAGTATTTATTAGCAAATGTTCTCAGGCTATCTATCTCAACAGATTTCTTAAATTTGGTGTACAAACCAGTCAAAGATGGGGCAGAAATAACTAAACATCCATTTCAGAAACCTAGAATTAGGATCATAATGCTACAATGACATCCTACCTTCCACAACTCAAGGTTGAGTAAATTTCTTATCCTCACTTAAAACAGAACTTTTAAAGGACTTACCTGTTGGACCACTTGATGGTATCCATTAAGTACAGTTTTCAGCTGCCAACTACATAGTAATCTAAAATTATAATGAACCAAATATGTTATTATTCAGGGCAAAAAGGAAAAAAACTGTTAACACAGACATTCTAAAGAATGCATAAAACCTCAGTCTGAAAGGTTAATAAAATTGTTTACTAAATTGACTTTTTAAAGTCTTGGGCTTCATCCTATTGTTACTAATTTTTCCTTTAAATATAAAAAAATAGAATTAGTAAATAACAGGCAGCTTACCCTTATTTAAACGATTTATTTATTTTTATTGGACAGTCAGATAAACAGAGAGGAGGAGAGACAGAGAGGGAAAACCTTCCGTCCACCGATTCACTCTCCAAGCAGCAGCAATGGCTGGAGCTGAGTTGATACAAATCCAGGAGCCTGACGCCTCTTCCAAATCTCACACACTAGTGCAAAGTCCCAAGGCTTAGGGGCGTCCTTGACTGCTTTCCCAGTCACAAGCAGGGAACTGGATGGGAAGCGGGACTTCCGGAATTAGAACCAGCACCCACAAGGGAACCTGGGGCATACAAGGCAAGGACTTTAAAGGCTAGACTACCGGGCCAGGCCTAGTTTAACTTTGTTTCAATTATTATTTCTATTTTTGATGATTTTTACATAGTTGATCAGGGTGATGTTGGTCAAAGGCCAAAGGAAAGTGGGTGAGACTACCATTTCCACATCTGCTTTTTTCTTAACTGTATCTGGGGGAAGGAGAGACAAGCAGAGAATCCACATCCAGCCTCCCAAATGCCTCTGCACCCCTGGCTGGAGGGCAGCCTCCTGAAACAACTCTAGGGTCCCAAATGTGGAACATGCTCTGAGGGTCCTGCCTATGAGGACTCGAGGGTTCAACAATTCCAAATTACTGCAGATCTCCCCACTCCAAACACTATATAATATCTTCAGAATCCACTGGTTCCCATAGTACACCCTGGAGTTTCCATTTGCTCAGTTATTCAATGCCAACATTTGGCTGGGGTAGTTGACCAATTTGTTCTGTCCTCTATCCTCTGTTGTGGTACCAGGTGTCCTCTGCAGACTCCAATGTACTGCCATATCCTCCATGTGCATCTGGATATGCTGTCCACTGCTCCATCTAAGTCACTGAGGAGGCCCAGCTCTGACACATGCACTCCAAGATCAGACCTTGGAGACTGCAATTCTCTCCATGGTTGGGTTCTGAGTCCAGCAATTCAGTTTGAGTGATCCCCAGAGAAACTTCATCCGAGGTGATCCCAAAACTGAATCTTATGCGTGCTTGCCAATACAGGGACCAGCACCGTCTGTAGCCCCAATCAGCTTATGCACATGCTGGTGTTTGCAACTGCTGGGACAGTTCTGTCTCCCAGCCCTGTCTTCTACACAAACCAATGCTTGCCGCAGCCCAGCCTGATCCTGTGCACCAACACTTGGCCTTCACGTAAACCAATGGGAGCCACCACCTAGTCAAGTGACCTGCAATAATCCCCACCAGGCCTGCCCCCGCCTTGGTTCTTGTGCTTGCCAGTATGTATAGCAGACTGGTCCAGTCTGTCTCATATGCCATTCGGCTCTCATACATGTCAATGGCTATTGTAATCTAGTTCAACCCAACCAGCCCCACTATCCAGCCCACACATGTGCTGCAGGTGCAACTCACTCTAGTCATGTCTGCTTCAGTCCTGGTTCTCATGTCCACCTTTCCTTGGCATTTGCTAATGGGTGCTGTAGTACCCTGGCTAGGCCCAGCCCATGCCCAATTCCAATTCATGCTGGTGAGTGCTACAGCCAAGTTTAATCCAACCAGACATCAGTCCTGGCCTTCATGTGAACTGGCTTGTGTTGTAACACAAGCTGCCCCGACCCATTCTGGTGCTGAAATTCGCCAGCAGATATGTACTAGCCCAGCCTGGTTTGTCCCTGAACTACACCACATGCATGCCATTGGGTACAGTTACTGGGCCTAATCCAGAATGCTCCTTATCATGGTTCTTGCGCTCACCTACAGGGACTGTGTCCCAACAGAGTAGCTACCCAAGCTCTTCCATCAGAACCACTCCAGTGTCAGATCTCATGCCCATCTCTGGGTACATGAGCCAGCCCTACTTAGTCCACCTCCTATCTTAACTGCAACAGTGGTCTTTCCTGATTGGCCTTAAACCCATTCCAGCTTTTACTGTTGGGTATTATAGCCTAGCCAAGCTTGGTCCATAACCAGATACAGCTCACATATGGTTCTGCAGAGACAGAGACCTAGCCTAGCCTGTCCTACACCTACCCTGGTTCTCACAAGCACTAATGAATGCTGAAATCTAGCCCAGTCTGGCACACCCCAGATCCAGTCCACACTTGTGCCAAGGGACACTGCAGCCATGCCCAGACTAGACAGCAGCCCCAACTCTGGCCTTCACACTCGCCAGTGAGAACCACAATCTAGCCAGGGTGTTCCTTTGGCTGCCCAGCCGGGCCTGTTCACAACCATAGATCTTGCAAGTATCACTGGTTGCTTTGACCCAGCTTGGCCTAGCCCCTCCCCTGTCTTGGCCTTTGCCTTTGGATGCAGTAAACTGGCCTAACCCAACATGCCCCAGTCCCTACTCTCACTGGAGCATGCTATAACCTGGCCCTGTCCAGTCTGCTCCCATCCCTGGCTCATGCAAACTGGTAGGGTTGACAACCTAGCCCAGCATGACATGGGCTCCAGCCTGGTTTGTACTTGCTGGTGAGCTAAGGTTTGCTTGGCACTGCCCCGCCCAACCCCATCCAAAGACAGTCCACACATTAGCCAACAGTTGGAGCTACCTTGTCCAGCCTACCCGACTTCCAGGCCTGGACTACATGCTCACCAGCAGGAGTTATGACCCACTAAGGGAGTTTCCCGAGTTCCCCCACTGGTCCACTTCCAGACTCAAATCTCACGCATGCCAGTAAGTGCTAGGTCCTTGGCCAGCATAGCCTGCTCCTCAGTCTTGGCCTAGTATGAGCTGACAGATGTTGTGGCCAGGCCTGCCCTACCTCACACCCTGTTTTAGGATGCACATGTGGGTGCTGTAGCCTGGACCTGCCCAGACTGTTCTTGGTCCCTGTACTTGTGAGTATGGCAGCTTCCATGGTCACAACTAGCTCAGCCCATCACCAGTCAAACTCTTGAGCTAACCAACAGGCCTTGCATTTCCACAGGGTTTGGCCCACAAATCCCCCACAGACTCTACCCCCAGATGTGATTCTCTTGCGTGATTAGTGTCATGGCTCTGCCTAATGTGACCTGTCTCCTGTTCTGACATTCAATCAGGGGCTAGGATCTAGTCCTGCTAGACAGGCCCACAGCCCTAGCTTTCGTATGGTTGTCAGGAATGTTCCATGTTAACAAGCTCAACTCTGGATTCCCATGTGGACTGGTACATGAGTCTGACCCATATAAGATCTTCCAGTGTCTCCCCTCCAAATCACCAGGTCTCAGTCCCCTTGCCTACCTGCCAGTACTGCTCACTGCGGGTGACTACTTGGCAGTGTCCCACTCCACTGTCATTCTGGCCACCCTCAAATACCACATTTTCACATTAATGAAAAAAACAAATATCTCTGGTTGAGTGGTTTAATGAGACATTGAGGCAAAACTCTAGTGACAAGAATCATTTTACATCAAATTGACTGCCAGCCCTGCTCAACAGCATACATACATACAACAAAGCACCATGTCACCTTGCATTCTTCATCTGCAAATCCTCAGGCAGCAATATTCTAAGGTGGAAGTCTCTTCCCTATGAAAAATATAGAAAAACTTCTTCAAATTTTCATTCTAATGCCAAGTTAAATATAGAATCACACAGGAAAGGCAGTATTTTTCTTTGTTATCTAAAAGGCATCAAATGCGCTCAAGTTTTGTAAGTTGATAAATTCAAACAGTGACATCTGAGAGAAAGAATAACTCAAAAAAGTGTAGGTCACACATAACCACTGGGAAATCAAACAAATATAGGCTTTAAAGGCTTTTCAGGGAAAAAAAAATCTCACCTCTACGTACTGAACACTGTAAATTCATTAATAGAGAACATAAAGAAGAAATTTAGATGATCATTTTTAGGATAAGCACCCAGAAAGATAGTTCTTTAGAATTACTTTGGACATAAAGGAGATAAAAATCAAAACGTAAAACTAAAGCAAGCAATAAATAATTCATGTTTCCAACTTACTAAATCTTAATGAAAATATACTATTATAAACTGGCACTATTTCTCATTCATGAATTTTTTTGATGATCAATAGCCGAAACTAGGGGCAACAGACTTTATACACTGAGGGTCATATAGGATTAGGGTGGAGGTATTGAGCTCATCAACAAACCCATCAACTGTTTCTATGCTTTTGTTTGGAACTCCTTTTGTCTTGTATATTCCACCAAGTGTTCTCATACACATACTTTCCACTCAACTGTTCTTTTTTTTTGTATTCATGAATTCGTAATAAAATGAGTAATATAATAAGTTTTAATCTAAATAGTCGTTAGCTATATTGCTAAATATTACGTTTATTTAACAGTCGTTCTAAGAGAACAGTCATTCTCTTGAAAAATACATTCAGTATTACTTTCTTTGGAAAGTGAGTGGGCAAGCAGTTTCAACATTAACTTAAATAGAAAAATACACATGAAATCTGAGCAAAAATAAGTAGAAAAAAGCAAACAGAAATGTAATCTTTTACTCCAACAATATAAAATGAAAAAGAGTAATAAAATTCTTGAGAAACAATTACCATGTGGAATTTTGGCTGAGCCTCCCTCAAAGCAGTTTCAAAAACAGAGGAACACAATTAAATGTACCCCATAACCTTTACTTTCATGGTAATATTACAGTTCTGACTTTCATTACATTTAAATGTCCTTTAAAAAAAATGAAACAAAATGTACTACTGACCTTTCAAAAGGTCAAGTAACAATAATTCACTATTTCATTAAAGCACTAAAAGGTATTATGTAGTAACTTTAGCCTAACTTTATAGACATCCCACACATAGGTGTAAGAACAAGCTGGAATTCACAATTTACATGAAGATTGAAACTATTCTGCAAAAATGGAATTATATACTTTCAGATAACCTGCAAAGTCCCTTATTTGCAAAATTTAGTCATTTTAAAAGGTCAAATGTCATGTTATATGCCATAGTAGTTTCTGGTTTCAGAAAAAGTCCAGAATTTGTATATTTAAAGCATCTGAATAGTAATTATTATCCAAGCAATGTCCTGGAACTGCAGGGAACTGACAGTGGCCTACACCTGAATCTTCTCAAATATCCTTCCATAAAACTATATAAATGTTAAGAATAAGTAAAACCACCAAAATCCCATGTTTTCTGTCAAAGACAGAACATAATAAACTTCAAGCTACCTGAAGAAAACACAGCCACTTTCCAGTAGAATCCACTCAGAGCAGTCACAGTAAGTCCTGCAAGAATGCTCTGGTCTTTAGGAAAACACAACCGCACAGAAGGTACAATGGAGACACACGTGTGTGAGGGGAGCATGGGGAATGGACTAGCTACAAATGAAAAATTTCTATCATATCACAACTACGGGAGATTGAACACAGAGGTCAAGCAGAAAGGAAGTATTTTAGAATTTTAAAATACTTCAGAAAGGAAGTATTTTAGAAGATGGTAAAAAAAAAAACCAGGTAGAGCTACATTTTGAAGTTGGTATTAGGAGAAAAAAAAGATGAGAAAAATTAGGCTCTTGACATGAAAAAATAAAAACAGTACAGTCAGCACTTTCCAAAACTTGCCATGTTAAAGAAAGCACACTTTGCTTCACCAACAGAAGAAGGTATTCTTGGACCAGGATTTTATAAACAGCTAAAATGTTCACAAAGATCCTGTCCCTATCGATGCAAAACTCCTAAGAAACAATCACCACTTCAGGTGATGACAGATCCCACACACACAAAACCACCAGGACATAAATTCAAACACCAAATTAAACATCAATAATTGAGCATTTGTACATAAAATCAAAAACAGATCTGATTTTTTTTAAAAAAACAAGAAATTAGTGCATCAACTGGATACTCACGAAAGCAAATTAAAAAAAAAAAAAGACAAACCTATAATAAATTACAGGAGGATTAAGGGAGAACAGAATTAAAACAAAAATTTCCTAATGGGCAAAGAAAAAAGAAGTAGCTAAAAGAAAAACCAGAAAGAAAACTGAAAAACCATCAGAGAAAAAGCAGATTAAGTTGGAATCAGGGAAAGAAAGTACAAGATACAGGCAACTGGAGACGCTGAAAATGAGAACAGATTCTTTACCAATACAACCCAAGTGAACTTTCTGGAAATCCACACTGGGAAAGGTAAAACAAGACATGTGAAAAAACTGGCTGATGATGATCCATTCCAGGATATAGTTCAATGGATTCTTCCAATGAAGAAACAATTTAGAGCCTCTAGGAAAAAATAAGCAAATAAATTATCTGGGCCACTGACTTATGACAGGCAGATGTCTCAAAGTAAGGGAGGGGAGCAAAAAAAGAAAATGGAAATATTAAAAACTTCCACTTCTAGAAACGGTGGAGCAGCAGACAAAGGGTGTGCCCTCCTCAGTCACTCCACAATTAGACAAGAGGGAGAAGCGGAGGTTAGGACACTGGCTGGAGTGACTGTATCCTATGGCAGAAGGACAAGACTCTGCCCTCAACCCTCCGACAGGCACTGATGACACATCTGGGGTCTTTCTACCTGTGTGGGAGGCCCGGACTGAACCGCTCACAACAAAACTCAAATATTTAGAAAAGAACAATGTCTAATAAGTACAATTTGCATTTATTATCTAATAAAGATATACGTGTTATGGAAAGAAACAGAAAAGAACCTAATGAGGGGAAAAAAGAAGCATACAAAAATGGCACAGATGATTTAAAAAATTAACTTAATTATATTTCAAACATTTAACACTGCAAAGGAAAATATAATCACACTGAACAGAAGGGAAATACATAGGCTCAAAGAACTGAAAAATACAATGTCTAAGACGAAAAATGCGTATGGCAGTTTTAACAGATTAAACTTTGCATGGCACTGGCATGCCTGAATACTCAGGCACAGAAGAGCTCCAAAATGAAACAGAGAAAGAGACTGGAGGGACAAAACCTGAAAAGACTAGCAATAAGTTGCAGGATTTTAAAGTGGCCTATTATGTAAATATTTGTAGTCCCCGACATACAGGAAAAGAACAGAAAAAACAAGTTAAATAACCAGCTGATGTTTTCTCCAAAATAAATGGAAATACATAGTCAAAATCCAAGATCCACAGTCCTAGGAAAGCTAAACAAGAGAACTATACCAAGGTATGACAAAATCAAATTGATTGAAACTAATAACAAGAAAAATCTTAAGAGCAAACAAAGGAAAATATACTACTTATAAAGCAACCAAAATAAGAGAATGCTCAGATCCAACAGAGGATGGATGAACAGTATCTTTTAAGTACTAAAACAGAATCTGTAACCTAGAATCTGTAACCACCGAAATTATATGTATTACAAATGTAAATCTGGAAAGTGTGTAAGTAGTACACATTCAGTATTAGAAATGTTCAAGTAAGGTCTTTAGGAAGAAACACAAATATACAACAGTATCAGACACAGTGAATTTACAGGTAAATGTGAAATACCTCTTCTTTTTCAATATTCTTAAGGTATAAATGACTAGGCCAAAGCAATCAAACCAATACAGTAATATTTTCTAAAGACACGAAGTATAAAATATCCATGGCATGATACTGATAGAAATTAATGACTAAGCTAGTAAACGGAGGTCAAAGAAATAAAATCTCCCATGCAGTAAAAATCTATCATATGGACACTCCTCCCTAACGGAAAGGGACTGTATCAGCCAGCAAAAGTGATGGCTGCTCATTGTGGGTAAGGGAAGTGGAAAAGCCTGACAAACACAACTTCAGCCAGGTGATCAATGCTCAGGAGCGATTTTGTTAAATTGTACACTTGCTATAATGAAAGTGAACTTGGTGACAGTCCTCCCCGAAACCCATAAGCCTACTTGAATCATGAAAAAAAAAAATTCCAATAGGGTAGTGTCCTAAAATATGCCTAAATAGCATTTCTTAATAAGATTTCATAATAAGGAATCAAAAAATGGAAAGTCTGAGTAGCTATTACAGACACATGACAATTTAATGTGCCCTTTTCAATGAATTCCTCAATTAGGAAAATGACAGGAAACCTTATTAAAGGATGGCCCCAGATAATAAAAGTATCAAACTAACGTTAAGCTGTTAACAGGGGAGGGGAAAGCACTGTGGCACTGGGCATCAAGATGCCACCTGCAACGCTGGCAGCCCACATGAGCGCTGGTTCAAGCCCCAGCTGCACTATTTCCAATCAAGCTTCCTGCTAATATGGCTGGGAAGGCAGCAAAAGATGGCCCAAGTACCTGGTCCCCTGCCACGAAGGTGGGAAAGACCCAGAGAGAATTCCAGGCTCCTCCTGGTGTCAGGGGAGGAGAATCCTAACTTAGCACAGTTGATCTGTCTGGCCACTAGATGCCCTCCGTTCTGTTGGCATACGACAACAGGGCCTCAGCAGCATGCACTCTGACATCCCAGCTAACTCAACTTCTACGTAAGATATCAAGTTCAAGGTATTCTGTTATAGCAAAAAAAAAAAAAAAAGAGAGAGACATTAAGAAAAACAGATAATAAGCTGGAACAATAGAAAATAAAAAGTGTAGAAAATTGGGAAAAAAGTTTAAAAAACAAGATTATAAACAAATAGCAAGACAGATTTAAAGCCAAGCATCAACAATCCCATCAAATGTAAATCGCCTACACATCGCAATAAGAGGAACTACTTGACACCTCTGCTTTTAGGAATCAGAACTTTATCTACCTCATTTTCAATACGGGCTTGCTATCAACAAACAGAAAAAAAAGGAGAAATAAAACTGTGTGTGATTTTGGAAGTTCAGGGATAAAGTGCAATGTTCAGCTTTCTGCTCCATCTCTTTGGGTTCACACTCAGGGGAAGCTCACTATCATGCTGTGCTGACAACCAAGCAACACCATGGAGGTCCAGGTGGCGAGGAACCAAGGGCGCCAGCCAACAGCTGGGCAAGTGAGTCCCTGAATGCAAACCTTCCCGCTCTGCTCAAGGTCTGTCTGCTAGTCCTGGCAGACACCTGGCTGCAGGTTCAGAAGGATCCTCATCAAGAATC